GCGGGCGAAAGCGCACACGGCGTGTCGTCTGGTGGGGATGCGCGAAGCGTCCATAATTTGTTGCCCCCAGGCGCCTCCTTGGATTCGGGCGGTTCGGCGCAGCACCACATGGCCGCGGTCCTCGCTCTCGTCTGTCGGTCGATCTCGGCGCGCAAGCTACAGAGATCTGGTCCCAAACTGCTGCGGGCAGGGCAGACTGACGACGACACTACACTTCTAAATCGGCAGCCTGGGATGAGGCGGCCGTGTTTGTTTTCGGTCGGCGGCCGATGCAGCAGGAGGAGGAGGAGGAGGAGGACGAGGAGGAGGAGGAGGAGGACGAGGAGGAGGGAGGAGGAGGAGACAGAGAGAGCGAGAGAGAGAGAGAGAGAGAGAACGAGAACGAAAGAGAGGCGAGCGCCCAGGCACCCTTGGCGGAGCGGACAATCGGGTGGTGCGAGGGGGGCAGTCTTCCAAGACGGCGGGGAGTCTTCTTAGAAGCCAGGGTCCTATTAAGACGGGCACGGAGGCTTCGAGGGCGGCTCCTTCGAAGCGGGGATGGCTTTTAAGACACAACCTGCCTGTTTAGAAGCTCGCCCCGCACACCGCACCCTTGTGCGTGCGATCAGGCTGACGATGACGACAACGCCGACGACGATGACGCCAGCGACAGTCATTTAAATCGGCAGTCCAGCGCGCGGCGACACAGGCGGTCCATCGGTTGGCGGCCGATGCAGCGCGAGGGAGGGACGCATGCACATATACAGATATGCATGTACGAACACATTTGCACATACCTATACGTATACCTATAGTATACACCTGTACAGCTATGTTACATGCCCATCTTCAGATACGTATGCACAGACACACACACAAGTACTTATGCATATACATGTACATGTGCATTTACACATCCATGCACACATACACATACAAGTACACACGCTTACACATGCACATATACGTGTACACTTACATGTCCACATGTAAAGCTATAAGCATATACAACGGTGCATTTGCACAGACATCACATTTACATATGCACGTGCATATGCAGACACACACTCATGCCCATACACACATATATACATATCCACCGATAGATGCATGCACATGCACATGCACATAACCATATATACACATGAATATACACATGCACTAACCATACACATACAAGACAGCATTGGCGCTTCGCGCCATGCACCTTGCTCCGCGCGCGTCGCCCCCAACCAAATCGCGCAGAAGCCCCGAAAAAGACTCTATCTGCGGGCTTTCCTATGTTTGAGGGCTCCCGGGGTCGTATGGAAAGTTTCCGGGAGCCCGATGGTGGCCGCTTGGGCCGTTTGGGGCCACAGTGCTGCGAGTCAGGATTTGGACTGCCTCAGATGGCCGTCTTGAGACTGGTTGGGTCCGTTCAGGGGCGGTCTTGGAACCGTTTTCGGACGTTGCTGGCTCGTGTCGGGGCTTCTTTGGACTCTCCAGGAGCCCGTGTAAGTCATTGTGAGCAAGAGGAATTCCTGAGCTTCGTCGTGCGGCGAACGCATTGGCGGCGGTGCGCACGCTGCGGGGGCCGTCTAGGGGCCTCCGAGTATGGCCGAAGTGGCGGGCTAGAGGCCTTCTGAATGTGTCTGGGCGTTTCTGGGGAAGTTCCTCGGAGGCTGGTTTTGGGCCTTCGTGGAATGGCTTTGGGTCCTCTTGGGCCGTCCTGGGGGCCTTCGCCGTCTTGGGGCCCTCACGGGGCTCTTTCGGGCTCTATTGGGGGCCTTCTATGGACTGATCGGGGCTTTCTCGGGGGCCTCTTGGGGTCCTCTTGGGCCCCTCTTGGGCCGTCTTGGGGCCGTCTTGGTTCTCTCCGGGGCCCTCCTGGGCCATCTTGAGGGGATTGGGGAGGTCCGCTGGGCCGTCCTGGGGAGATCTCGGAGGCCCAGGGAGCCGTCTTGGGCCGCTCTTGGTTTGAAATGGCGAGAATTTCAAAATCCTTCAGGGCCGTAAGGGGAATCCGCGGCCATCCTCGTGGTCCTCTTGGGCCGTCCCGAAAGCCTCCTGGCTTGTCATCGGGCCCTCTTGGGCCGTCTTGGGACTCTCTTGGGGTCCTCTTCGGCATGTTTGGGGTCCTCTGGAGCGTCTTGGGCCCACTGGCTAGTTCCAGCAAGGACCCTGAAACTCTGGGGGAGCCTCTGCGCAGGTGTCCGGGAGGTCCCGGAGGCCAGGGGTCTTTGGGGTCCATGGGGTCCCTGGCAGTGTCATGCGGGCTGGCTGCGATGACTCCTCCATAAAGAATCTGGAGCGTCCTTGCCCGCCAGACCACGCGTGATTTAGAATGCTTGGCCGTCTTGCTTGCTTGCTTGCTTGCTTGCTTGCTTGCTCCTTTCTCCTCCCTCTCCTCCTCCTTTTCCTCCATGTATGCCTCCCCGCTCTTTTCTGCAGAGGGACAAGGGGGATGAGGAGGGGAAGGAACCCCCTCTTCCTCTCCCCCTTCACCTCTTCTGGGCGAACTTGTGGGACACCTGAAAAAAACTCCTTCGAAAATCTCTCGAGGCCTCCGACAGCCTCCCAGGGCCTCCGAGAGCCCACGGGCGACTGCGACAAAGGCCGACGACGATGACGGCGGTGGCAGCGACGATCGCGGCAGCACTATTTCATGGTCGTCGCGTGCAGCCAGGTCAGCGCGCGGAAGACCGCACGACGACGACGACGAGAGCCGACGACGACGGTGACACCAGCGAAGGATGTCCGACGCTCCTCCACAACGAGGGCCGACGACGACGGTGGCGGCGACGACAGCGACCCGACCTGTCCTGGGGCTCTTCCTGACCAGAATCTCAAGGCGACTCCAGCCGTGGTCACAAAGAGTGCCCACTTGAAGCTCCAGAGAACCCAACAGCTCTGATCCCCGAACCTCTCTTTTTTATCGTCGATTTTGGATCTGCGGCTCGGACGAGCGCCAACGGCGACGAGGAACGCCCGACGCTCCTCCACGACGAGAACCGCCGACGCCGACGGCGGCGGCGGTGACGACCTAACGGACTTATCCTGGGGCGCGACATCTAGGAGGAGGAGGAGGAGGGGAGGAGGAGGAGCAGGAGGAGGGGGAGAAGGAGGAGGAGGAGGAGGAGGAGGAGGAGGAGGAGGACGAGGGAGGGAGGAGGAGGAGGAGGAGGAGGCGCGTTCTGAGCAGAAGCTACCCGTGGCGACGAAGAGTGCCCTTCGGAGGTCCACTTTCGAACCTCGATCGTCGAGACTTTGGCTTCCTCGGTCTTGGATCCTTGGCGCTCCCTGATTGGCCGCTGCTCGCGGCTGCCTCCGCGCGCGGCGGAGCGCACGACGACGGCGGCGGCGACGACGACGAAAGACCGCTCGACACTGCTACACGGCGAACGCCGACGACGACGAGCGCCGACGACGAAGACGGCAACGATGGCGGCGACGACGACTGCCGACGACCACGGCGACGGTGACGACGAGGACGCCGCCGCCTGGCCTGGGGCGCGCTCTGACAGGAATTTTTCGCGCGAACTTCGCTGTGGCCACGAGGCGTGCTCCCACAGCCTTCAGGAGGCCCAGACCAGGCCGATCCTCGAGCCTCGATCGCCGACCTTGGATCGCCGAGGTGGGATCCGTGGCGCCGCCGCAAGCGGACGACGACGACCGACGCTCCTCCACGACAGAGGCCACTGGTCGACGGAAACGGCGACGACCACGGCGACGACGAGCGACGGCGGCGAAGACGCCGAAGCTGACGAAAGACGACGTCGGCGCCCAGGGCACCCTCCTTGATGGTCGCCGCGCGCAGTCGGGTCAGCGCGCGGAAGACCGCGCGCTTGATCTCCGCCACCTCTCGAGCGGCGAGGCAAAGTGCGCGGAGGGCGGCGAAAGCGACAATGACGGCGACAGCACGACGACGGCGATGACCACGACGACGACACCACCACCACGACGGGGACGACCATGAGGAGAAGGAGAAGGAACACGAGCAGAAGGAGAGGGAGGAGGGGAGGGAGCAGCGCCAGGGAAGCGGTCAGGAATGGCACTAGGGCCGACGTCGGCGACAACGACGACGACCACGACAACGACGGCAAAAACGATCTCGACTTCGACCACGACGACCACGACGACGACGCCGACGACGTCGACGACGACGATGACGACGACCACGACGACGACGACGACGACGACGACGACGACGACGACGACGACGACGACGACGACGACGACGACGACGACGACGACGACCACGACCACGACAACCACGACGCCGTCGTCGTCGTCACCACGGCCGGGCACGCATCGAAATCTCGGCCGGAAAGCGGTCGAGCGGGTGACTTCCGCTGCCTGCCTCGCCGCTTCCGGCCCGGCCCGCCGTGGACCTCGCAGCGTCTGCCCCGCCTGGCCCGGGCACCTCCCCACGAGGAGGAGGGGGAGGAGGAGGGAGAGGAGGAGGAGGAGGAGGAGGAGGAGGAGGAGGAAGAGGAGGAGAGGAAGAGGAGGGGGAGGAGGAGGAGGAGGAGGAGGAGGAGGAGGAGGATTCTACCGCTGCGTGCTCTCCCGCGGCGTCCCGCGGCAGGCCCGATCCCTGGGAGCCAGGCGGCCGTCGAGCACGGCACCTCAAGGCGCTGGCACATGCAAACGCGCACGCCAGCGCGCCGACGGTCGAGGGCCAATGCCCCCCTCCCCTCCCCCCTCCCCCTCCGTACCTCCTCCTGCACATCCTCCTCTCCTCCTCCTCCTCCTCCTCCTCCTCCTCCTCCTTCTCCCCTACTCCGCCCCCTCCTCCTCCTCCTTCCTCCTCCTCCGCCTCCTCCTCCTCATCCTCCTCCTCCTCTCCTCCCCCTCCCCCGCCCCCCTGCCACAAGAAACCATATGGAATACTACTCTCCCTCTTCCCCTGAATGAAGTCTTGGGAATGTTCGGCCCCCCCCCCCCCCGCCCCCCGCGCCGTACGGTTTTTTTACACGCTGGTTTCCCCGGAGTTGGGTTCTCGCCCGCATTTTTTCCAAGATGCTGCTCTCGCTGAGGCGCCGGCCTCATTTTCGGGCCCCGCTCGTTCCGAATCGTGCTCTCGCTGCAGCGCTGCATCATTTCCGCCGGCGCCCGGGCTGCACGCCGGCGGGGTCTGGAGCCGGTTCCGGCCGCCGCCGGAAAATCGAGTTCCGAGGCGGCGCCGAAAAAAAACATTCTATTTTGAAAATGCAGAATTTCTGCTTCCGGCGCCCGGGAAACCCCCCGGCCGATTCCGACGCCCGGGCCGGCGCCCGACCCGGCGCCCAGGCCAGACGCCCGAGCCGGCGCCCGGGCCGGCGCCCGGGCCGGGTCCGGAGCCCGTTCCGGCCGGCGCCAGAAAATCGAATTCCGAGGGGGCGCCCCAACAAAATACACATTTTTTTGAAAATGCTGAATTTCTGCTTCTGGCGCCCAGGAGCCTCCCGGGCCGATTCTGGCGTGCTTCCGCTCGTTTCGTTCCGAATCGCGCTCCCGCTATAGCGCTGGCCTCATTTCCGCGCTTCCGCTCGTTTCGACTCGCGCTCCCGGTGCAGCGCTGGCGTCATTTCCCGTGCCATGCCACGGCATGCAATGCAATGCCAGGTTGATACTACGCTTCGCGGTGCTCTTGTACGCCATGACGCGCCGTGCTCTACAATGCATCGCGTACCATTTCGGGATCATTGCCCTGCTTGACATCCGACTGTGCGAGTAGAGAGGGGATCTGCGCCATGGTACGAGATGGGAGGGTAGGGCGTCAGATAAGACGCGAACGCACCTAGCTTGCCCTTCCCCCCTCCCCCTCCCCCTCCCCCTCCCCCTCCCCCTCCCCCCCCCCCGCCAGAGCGCCGACGCACTTATTAGGCACAATAAAGCACATACGTACAACATGATAGGTAAGGCTGCATCAGACGATGGGGATAATCGTCGTTGGGAAGATCGTGCTGCCCCCGCGGCGCGAGACCGAGAGGCCATGCCAGACGACGGCTTCGGGATACCTTAAGGAGACGCACCACACTGTTCGCGTCGGCACCGAGCCAGACCTCCGAGAGCTGCGGGTGCCTGCCAGCGCAGATTCTGCCCCCAAAACGCCTGGCACTCCTGAGATTCTGGGGCCTACCTAGAAAGACTCTGGCCAGGTAGCGAACATAACTGCCCGTTGGGAAAAATATTCGACGGACGCATGCACGAACGACGCCGCCGTCCGAGCAGGCTAGTCCCACGCAGTATGCTCCAGATATTCAAGGATGTATATCTGGAGCTTGTGTTTGTTGATGCAACTCGAATTATTGCGGGGCCAGACCCCGCGAAAAACTGTGAGGCAGTGGTTGCGCGAGGAGGAGGAGAAAAAAGGAGTTGGCAGAGGGGGAGGGGGAGCAGGAGGAGGAGGAGGGGGAATAATAATAAGAAGAAGAATGAGAAAACAAGAAAACTCGGCCTTGCGCGTGGTCTGTGCCGTACCATGACTGCGCGTGCGCACGTGCAACCAGAGCCCTACCCCGAGCGAGCTGTCATCGATCGAGTGCGATGAGGTCGAGTGTAGCGCGCGCCGTGCAGCCTGTGGTGCAGAAGCGTACACAGGCGGTCGCAAATCGTATTGCCCCTCGGGGGCGGGGGGAGAGGAACCCCTTCTGGCCTCCAGCGCCGAGCCCACGTCGTTGCGGGCGACGGGCAGGCCTCCGAGGCACTCGCCCCGCCCCGAAATAGGTGACGTCGCCTAGCCTGGCGGGAGGAGGAGGGGGGAGGGCAGCGGCACGGCGCGACCTAGAGGGGCAGGGCCAGGCCTACTCGGTTTCAGCGGGCGGAATCGCGGTCCAGGTCCGACCACACGCTGACATGGCCCAAGTTGTAATTATAGCTTGATATTAGTAGTGGCCAGCGGTGCGTTCCGTCCTCGGGTGCAAGAGGCACCAGAAATTATCCTGGCGAAGCACCCAACCATATGCAGTTGTGAGTGCCGCAATTGTGAGTACCTTCTTCGGTGGCGCTCCCTATGGGGCCACGAACCGCATGAAGGGTATGCCGAAATATGGCGGGGTACACAACGCAAAGGAATACGATAGGTCAGATTACGAAAGAATGAACGCGGGTGAGCCAGAGCGCGAGAGAGTCTGAGTGTGAATGGGTCTGCGTGGGAGTGAGTATATTTGCATGAGTGCGATCTTGGCTACGCCTAGTGTGAATGTATATGAATGTGAATGGCTCGAGCACGCCTGTCCGAACACTCGTGACACTGGGCGTGGCCGCCGCAGGCAGCTTCCGCGGGAACCCCGACGGCAGCGCCCGCGCGCCGCGACGCCCATGTCGGCACGCCCCTCACGGGGATCGCACCCGCTTCCGCCCCTTCTTTTCCCCCTTCTTTGCCTGCGCGCTCCAAAAATCCAAAGCTGCGGGCGCAGAGCAACGCGGAGTCCCCGCGACGCGCGCAGGTCGCCGCGGAGGGGTCCCAGCGACGAGCGCAGGTCCTGAGATGGAGCTCCCTGTGGGGCCACGAAACGTGTGAAGGGGTGCCATGCGAACTGCGCCACTGGGACCTTAGGTGCAACTCCCTGAGGGGCCACGAAACGTGTGAGGGGTGTGCCAAAAAGGGGCGGTGGCGCCATGCGAGCTGCGCCACTTGGACCTCAGGTGGGGCTCCATGAGGGGCCACGAAAACGTGTGAGGGGTGTGCCAAAATGGGGCGGTGGCGCCATGCGAGCTGCGCCACTTGGACCGTAAATGGAGCTCCCTATGGGGCCACGAAACGTGTGAGGGTGTGCCAAAAAGGGACGGTGGCGCCATGCGAGCTGCGCCACGTGGACCTTAGGTGGAGCTCCCTATGGGGCCACGAAGCGTGTGAGGGGTGTGCCAAAATAAGCTCCCTGAGGGGCCACGAAACGTGTGAGGGGTGTGCCAAAATGGGGCGGTGGCGCCATGCGAGCTGCGCCACTTGGACCTCAGGTGGAGCTCCCTGATGGGCCACGAAACGTGTGAGGGGTGTGCCAAAATGGGGCGGTGGCGCCATGCGAACTGCGCCACTTGGACCGTAAATGGAGCTCCCTATGGGGCCACGAAGCGTGTGAGGGGTGTGCCAAATTGGGGCGGTTGGCGCCATGCGAGCTGCGCCACTTGGACCTCAGGTGGAGTTCCCTGAGGGGCCACGAAATCTGTGAGGGGTGTGCCAAAATGGGGCGGTGGCGCCATGCGAGCTGCGCCACTTGGACCGTGAATGGAGCTCCCTATGGGGCCACGAAACGTGTGAGGGGTGTGCCAAAAAGGGACGGTGGCGCCATGCGAGCTGCGCCACGTGGACCTTGAGTGGAGCTCCCTATGGGGCCACGAAACGTGTGAGGGGTGTGCCAAAAAGGAGCTCCCTGAGGGGCCACGAAATCTGTGAGGGGTGTGCCAAAATGGGGCGGTGGCGCCATGCGAGCTACGCCACTTGGACCGTAGATGGAGCTCCCTATGGGGCCACGAAACGTGTGAGGGGTGTGCCAAAATGGGGCGGTGGCGCCATGCGAGCTGCGCCACTTGGACCTTAGGTGGAGCTCCCTATGGGGCCACGAAACGTGTGAGGGGTGTGCCAAAAAGGGGCGGTGGCGCCACGCGAGCTGCGCCACGTGGACCTTAAATAAGAACCATAACTTAAAGAAAAAAAAAAAACTAAAAAAAAAAAAATAATAAAAAAAAAAAGAAGGTGGAGCTCCCTATGGGGGGGTTGGGGCCACGAACCCAAAACGTGTTATGATGGGTGTGTCCATGGTAACGATAACGGCGATATGATGAGAATGATAACGATATGGTGTGAGGAGGAGGGGAGGAGGGGGTAAGGGGAGGGAGAGGAGGAGAACGCGGGGCGACGTCTCTTCAAAACGA